CTCTGGCTTTCTCTATAATCCTACTCTAGTGCAAGTTACTATGCTAAGCAAACGAATTTCAGCCACTGACATGGTTACTCTGTTGTAGCAAAGACAACAATCTTTAAATGCTAGCATTATGTTACTAACAGTTTTACTAATGAACTTGTCAATTTGTAAATCTGTAAGATTCTATCAAACAGTTGATGGCTTTTCTCATTGGCTAATAATGCTGAAATGTTCATTTCTCACAAAAATTTGACTAAAACATGTTTTGTATCTTGGTGTCTGTAAGGGCTGAAGACTTATTTTTTTAAAAAAAGAAGCGAAAGCTTGTATCCAGGCTTGAATACTGATAAAATAAATGAGGCTGGCAGGGTGTGTGACTAAACTAGGTTGAATTTTTTCAAATCTGTGTTGATGATATGAGATGAAACTGGGATTCCAAGTCTAATTGAAGTTTGTAGGTTAAAATTTTAAACATATGAAGGCACCTGATGTTGGGCAAGACTAGTTGTCTATGTAGTCTACTCCACCCGCTAGGCGTATGTCGTCTTTTGGGCAGACATCTTTCTCCGACTGTTTAAACTAGAGGTGTCAGGTCATGAACCTCAGACTTGCTGCATGCATATTATGTGCCCAGTCACTGAGCTATGGCTCCTTTCCTTGAAATTATGAAAGTAGTAATAAACAAGGGTTTGGTCCGCAAGCCAAGTGAAGGTGTCTTTAGCCTAATGGCATAGAATTAAACGTGCACCATCTTGTTTTTCAAAATTATTAACCTACATCAAGTTAGGAACAACCGGTTTAAAATATGAAGAACATGAAAAAGAAGAATAGCAGTAGTGAAAGGGTTTGCTAATCGTGCAAGCCTGTGCATGCGTACCTTGAGTAAGTCCCTTTGACTTCAGTGGAATTTGCTTCCACATAGAATTTAAAATTATTATTATTATTATTGGCCTTTCTATCATAAGAATTCCTGTGTCCATTCACAGTTGCTGTCACACACACTCTTGGTTCATGCTTCTGGTCTTCTAAAAAGTTGGTTGTGATGAACCTAATTCATTAACTTGCTTATTTTAGCTTGTATAGAGGGGCTGCCTATACACCCTATGGTTGGGCTAGCATTGTGGGCAGAAGAAGCCAAAAACTGTTCAAATAATTCACAGCAAAGAGTGTACTACCTCCACTGTAGGCAGCCATGTGGGATTAGTCTACTGCAGAAGGTTTCAACTACATCATTAATGGATGGATAATTTGTTAAATCAGAACTTCTAAGTAGTGCCAAAATTAATTATGTCGAATTTATTAATAATATCAACACTAAATTTAAAATACTTTTTGTTGAAACACCAGTGTCATTGATATATTTATGCTTGTTGCTTGATTTGTTATTATTTTCACTCATTTTAAATGATTTTTCTTAAGGTTAACACATTAGCAAATATATTAAGACATCAATTAATGAATTGATCTCTATTACATTTTCTAATTTTTAAAATGTCAGTTAACTGGTTAAAGATTTGATGTTAGAGCAGCTACTTCCAAAGCTCTGATTAGGATATACAGTGGTGCCTCGCTTAATAGGCGCTCCATTTAGCGATGAAACTGCATAGCGATGAAGATTTTGCGATCGCATTGCGATGTTTTAAATGCGTTTTTTTCGCTTTGCGATGATCGGGTCCCTGTTTCGATTACTGATCATCGCAAAGCGATGATTTTTTAACATCGGCAGCTCCAAAATGGTCGCCGGGTAAAAAATAATGGTCGCCCGCTGTGTTTAGGGACGGATTCCTCGCTTAAGAGGCACCGAAAATGACCGCCCCTATGGAGGATCTTCGCTTTAAGGTCAGTTTTTTGCCCATAGGAATGCATTAAACATGTTTTAATGCGTTTCTATGGGCTTTTTAAAATCGCATAGCGACGAAATCGCTTAGTAGCGATTTTTGCTGCACGGATTAACGACGCTATGCGAGGCACCACTGTACAGGTTCGGCTGAGCTAGCTTTTATCCAGAGCAAATCTGATTTAAAAAATAATAATAACCCTCAATTTAAAATCTAATTTAAAGGACAGTAAGAGATTTTGCACTCTTCTGGGAGATGCGTTGAGACTGAAAATAAATGTTCCTTTTGTTCAGCCTTCTCCCCATTTCTTTCTCAGAAACATCCTGATTTTCCCAAGAAGCCTTTGACCCCCTACTTCCGTTTTTTCATGGAGAAGCGAGCAAAGTATGCAAAGCTGCATCCAGAAATGAGCAACTTGGATCTTACCAAGATACTTTCTAAAAAGTATAAGGAACTCCCAGAAAAGAAAAAGGTGAGCAATGCATATGGGAGGTGCCATAGAAGCATTTGTAGGATTCCATAAATTTACTCTCACACTGTGAAAGAAAAGCCACCGTTCCTTTCCTTGTTGGAGAACATGGTGCAGTTTCTTTCCCTTTTTCTCTGGGTTTCTGCAGAAAGGGTCTACAAAGTATAGATAGCATTTGTCTTCTGAGAATACTTCATGTAAGGGAATATATCCTTTCCCTTCCCTTTCCGTGAGTTTTCTCTATTGAGATGTTAATAAGCAAGGCAACATTATGAATCCCAGACAGGTGCCTTGTATGATCAGAGATTTGAGCTTGGAGATGTGCAGCATTATTTCTGAATAGACAATAGTTCTGATTTTAGTGGTAATCCTGACATTAAAAACAAAGCAGAAACACACTTGTATTTATGTTAAGTACATCCTAATTTAGAGCCCTGACTCATTTACTGGGGGAAAGGCACATTTCTCTCTATTTGGGGAGGTTGCTATCCAGGAATAAGTTAACTTTCATTGCCACCTAGGCTAGGTGGGGATCATGTTTGTTTTCTAAAATTTTAAATGACATCTTGTTCTTCCTTTTGGATCAGTTTTCCTAGCAGATACTGTATTTGATTGTTGAGAAGGGGAAAGACAGACTTCTGCAGCAGTGATGGGTGTTTGCCTATAGACATGTGTGTATCCATGCATACATGCACACCACTCATCTCATATCTCATAGGAGGCAAACATGCCTAATGAGCTGATAAATTAAAATTCATTTATATAGGAAGGCTCAAGAGAAGGAGTGCTCAAGATGTTATGGCTGAAAAGTGGTTCAGTATTTATAGGGATCATCTTTGCTCAGAACGTAGGAAGATGCCTTATTCTGAATCAGTCTGCCAGTCTGTGTAGCCTAGTATTTTAAATATAACTGGCAGGAGCACTTTCTCTGATGTCAGGCAGACAGGATTCCTTCCTAGTCTTACCTTAAAGAGCCTCGTGGCGCAGTGGTTAAACTGCTGTACTGCAGCTAAAACTGTGCTCACGACCTGGGGTTCAAATCCCAGGTAGCTCGCTCAAGGTTGACTCAGCCTTCTATCCTTCCGAGGTCAGTAAAATGAGTCCCCAGCTCGCTGGGGGGGGGGCAATGTGTAGCCTGCATAATTAAATTGTAAACCTCCCAGAAAGTGCTTGAAGCGCTATGGGGCGGTATATAAGCAGCACGCTTTTTGCTTTGCTTTTAAGTTCTCGATATGTCCTAGTGTTCTTCCATCCATCCCATTAGGCCTGATATAGTCTAATATCATTTCAGAGCATCATGGCACCTATAGAGTGTTAGGGTAATTCTTATATACCAGCCTTTGTGGGCATCTACCTTTGAGATTTGTTCTCAGTGATAATCAAAGGGAAACCACTGTGGAGTGTTAGTGAGGGAATAGTCTGCAAGAAAACACTGTTAATTTCTTCATCATCATCATCCAGGTTAAACCAATCATTTTATATTTCTTTCAGATGAAGTATATCCAGGACTTCCAGCGAGAGAAACAAGATTTCGAGCGAAATTTAGCAAGATTTAGGTAAGAATCCACAGAGCTACAGCTTGGAAATCTGGCAGTTGTGATTGTGGATGTCACTTCTACATATATATCAAATGTTACATGAATTCTGCTAGGAAAAAGTATTTTGTTTTTCCTCATAATGGGGCAGAAAGGAAAGGATGAGTACTATCCGAAGGTTCCTTGTCTAAAAAGTAGCATGTCTTACAAACACAACAAACCAGGTTAGTATATTTTGGTTATGGAATGGTAGCATATTTGTAAGTGAATATATTTCCAAGCAAGTAAATAATTTGCCTCAGCCATCTACAGCAGGACTTCACTGCGAATTGAATCTGGTAAACAATAGTTTCCATCACTCAGTCAGCAAACCGGAGATCAGAAACGATACAAATTATTTGTGAATAGTGTTTGAAAGAAACTGATGATTAGCATCCTGTTTTCAGAAGTCACAGTGAGGTAATTCCAGGTTAAGTAGAGAACAAGGCTTGAAAGAAGAAGCCTTATGTATCATATGGTATATGTGTTGCCTCTCAGCACAGTCTTAGATTTTTGATCAAGTGTCATATTCAGCCCAAAGTATTTTATGCCTCTGATTTAATCTACCTGACCTTTTGTGAGAGGCTGTGATTGGAAAGTTTATGGGGTTTTACAGAGAGGTCAGTATGAGTGCTTCTTTAAATTCATATAATTCTGTTATTGCTTCTGCTCTAATAACCTATTGTCTTTTGTAACTCTTGCCCTGTGAAGGGAAGACCACCCCGACCTCATTCAAAATGCCAAGAAATCTGATATCCCAGAAAAGCCCAAGACCCCTCAACAGCTCTGGTATACCCATGAGAAGAAGATCTATCTGAAAGTGCGCCCTGATGTAAGTAGTTCTCACACGGTGGGTGAACAGAGTATAGATATAAAGGGAGGACAAGGGAAGGAGAGAGAATGCTGGTAGTATTGGGGAAGAGGCAGAAAAAGAATGGGAAGAGACTGCAGCTTCTGTGTGCATTCAGTCTAGATTCTGCCATTGGAATATATGTCCAAGTTGGGGAACATTTGGTTTCTCAAAAGTTCTGGATTTTGGCTCCCTTTTACCTTTGGTCATGATGGCTGGAGGCTTCTTGGTATCATCTAGAGAGTCTACATTTCTCACCCTGGCATATATTGTACACATGATTTATTCCACTGTTTAGGGAACAGTTTACAGTTTGGGCAGAAGTGGGTGGTTAAGACTTTTCTAGATTGTACTTTTTGAACTCCTGGTGGGGGATGATGCATTTGAGTTTATCACTCTTCCCCATCGTTTTGCTATATAAATAATTAGAATATCAGAAAGAAACGCTAATCCTAGCCTCTTTGCCATGCCATTTTCCTATATTCATAGATGTATTTTTAAGGGGCCTGGCATTCAGATATATGCACTTCATTTTCTGAAATTTGAAAGTGATGCAATCCAGAAGCTTTGCTGCTTTATTTTGCTGAATATGTATGTAAACTCACTCAAGGAATGCTGGCGGAGGGTCAGGGAAGAGCTACTAATATTAATAGAAAAATAAAGAATTGCCTTTCTGATTGAAAGGATTAAGAAGCTGAGGATTTCTCACCTTAAAGTCAGCTGAAGGGAGAAATTTGCAGGTTCACGGAACCATGGGACTGGAAAACAGAAAAACAAAATGCAAGTTTTATTTGCTCTCTGAACAAAAAGAGAGTAACCATCGTCCATTGAAGTATTAAAGCAAGGAACTTTCTGCCATGAGATGTAGAGGATGGCCACATACAGAAATATCTTTAGAAAAAAATTATGAACAGTTCTGTAAAGAATGTGGGTAGTTATGACACTGAGGTTCTGGAGAACAGAGTCAAATAGTCTCCAGTAATTAGCTGTCTAGGGATAAAAGAGGTAGCCAAGCCCATGTTGTACTGCTCATGGTGTTCTAGGAGGGCCCTGTTGAAGAAAGTTGTAGCTAGAATTGATCAGCTGTTAGTCTGATTCAGATAAACTCTGGATCTCAGTGTTCTTAGTGTTCATATGTCATACTTGTGTGCGGTTCAGTTTACTTCTGCAAGATTTGCTTCCTTTTTTAGATTTTCAAGATAGTTTGATCCTTTTGGTAAAAAAGGAGGGGACAGAATAAAGACAAGACCATAAGATCCTCATAAACATCGCTATGAGAGTTAGGAACATAATTTACATTTCAAACCAATCTTAATATTTTTAAGATGTCACCTTGGGTGTAAGATTCTCCACTTAACATAGGGAATCAGAGAACGTTAGACCAAGCACATCCCATATAGGAACTTTTGGATTTCCTATGTATTGAGGTATTTTTCTCCCTTTGAAGAAACTAGAGAGAAACATTTTTTAAACACTTGCTTTTCTGAAAGTTTAGCATAGCTCACTGCCATACCACTAGGGTGGGCAGTGTTCCCCCTTCCCCTTCCTATTTTTTCTTTTTGCCTAATTTTTTATTTCCCCTCCCCACATGGGTTTTTCAGGCCACCACGAAGGAAGTGAAGGAGGCGTTGGGCAAGCAATGGTCTCAGCTCTCGGACAAAAAAAGGCTGAAATGGATTCATAAGGCTCTGGAGCAGCGGAAGGAGTATGAGGTAGGGAACACTCAACAGTTCCCATCCATCTTCTCCCCTCTGTGCTCAGCCCGGCCTTGTCGCGGCTGTTGAAACCCAGCCGCGCTCCGAGAGCCGACTTGGGGGTGTCATTCCCTCTTCTTGAGCCTGAAGGGAGTTGCAAAGCAACTCTGCTAAGTGCTGTCCAAATTGATTAGGGTCACACAAGCGGGATCTTTCTGCCCAAGTCACAACCCTAGAGCCTAGGGAGAGTTTTGTCCCACACTCCATGTCTCCCTCCGTCATGGTAACCACCCTGTATGTTTGTTGTTCACAGGAAATGATGCGGGATTATATACAGAAGCACCCTGAGATGAACATTGAGGAAGGGGCCCCTCCCCGTTCTACTCTAACAAAAGCAGAGAGACAGCTAAAAGACAAGTTTGATGGGCGACCCACCAAACCCCCTCCGTAAGTTAATGGAGTACTTGGAGACAGGGTGCTGTGATTGGAAGAGTTTCACATAATGAATCATGGAGTATTTCGTGGAGAACTGTATGCTAGTCAAAATATATGTGAATGGAAGAGTAGCATGTGCCACTGTTATTCACCCTGTGTGTAATCAGCGTGGCAAAGTGGTAATGGTATTGGACTCTAAAAAAGAGAGGCATGAAGCTCATTAGCTGACCTTGGGTCATTGCCTGCAAACCTGTTCTACTTCACAGGGCTCTTGTAAGGGTAACATGGGAGGGTCATGCTTTTTTATTTAAGAGCAGAATACTAATATCTTTAGAGTCAGAGAGTAGCTTCTTGTGTTCATGGTTGCCTCACTAAAAGAAATGTGTCTTAGTTTTGGCAACTTAATGTGTGGAAACTGATGCCAAGAGAGCATGGTGCGCCTTTGAGTCCTGTCCCCTCCCAGGACCTTCCTTTCAACCTGCCCCTTCTGGTTCACCAAAGTACCACAAAATGTTTAATAAATACTGTACCCTTTTCCTCCTTCTCCTCTCCCATTCTTATCTATAGTCCCACTGTTGGGACATGTTATCAGAAGTTGCATTCATCGCACCTCAGAATCAATTGACAGGCTGTACTCATATTAAATCTGGTGCCTCTGAATTCTTGGTTAGTGGAGCCAACAGGAAAAGATCTCAAATTGTCTAAGTAAACATGCAACTTCTGGTTTTGAAGGGAAGGAAGTAGTCTTTGATACTGGCTCTGCTATCACAGGGAGAGTAGGGGATTAATGGTTTCTCCTGAGTAACATCAGGAATAATAAGGCATTGTTCCTGATGTTACTCAGGAGATACCATTAATCCCCTACTCTCCCTGTGATAGCAGAGCCAATATCAAAGACTACTTCCTTCCTTCTATTTGTTTTTCCCTTTTCCTTGCTTTCTTCCTTCACTCCTAGCACCTTCCTCTTTGTCAAGAATTAGCCAGACAAGAACTTGGGGGGCTGACAATCAGACTGCTTCTTTTCATGAGGCTTGCCTTGCTGCTGCTCCGCCAACTGACCACTTTGCACTCACCTGATCCATGGCAAGTCCCCTGCTGCTGCATCTGCAGCTTCCTTCAGGGATCCTGCTTTTGGTGTTCTGGGACTTCTTCCCCAGTTTACTCAGATGCAGCACTATCAGTCTTTTTGGGAGGACAGGGGAAGGGAACAGAGCCCCCTTGTCTCCCAGAGAACTTTCTTATGGGAAGCACAGCACACCAGGTTCTCTCAGCATTCCCTCAAGATTCTTCGCTGACAATCATAAGCATGCACCACTTCGTGGTCTCCGTGAACCGCACACATGTGTGCTTCTGCACCTGCACAAAACTACTCTTACCATTTTAGATTTAAAAAGAGAGCCATTAGAATAGTTCCTCCTTTTACTACACATGATCGCCCCTCAGTTCTCTTTAGCTACCACTGAGGAAACTTCTAGGATGGTTGCTAGAGCTTCTCTTTGTTATTCTTCTTGAAAACCCACCTGTTGCCATCTTCATCGTCTTTCTTACCTCCCTCCTCTCCATGAGTCCCCCTTAGGGAAAAGAGAGAGAGAGAGAGAACTTTGTTAGTTAGTCCCTCAAATCTTCTTGCTTGAGGCTTTACCACATCCTTTCCTCTTCAGGCCTACCCTCCCTTGTTTTTCTTAGTATTCTGTGGCCCCGATAGCCCCTTGAAGAAATGTGTGGTTTGCAGCAATAAAATTCCCCTCACCAAGAATCATTCTTAGTGTTTATGGTACCTCAGTAAGGGGCACCAAACCCAATCCTATCTAGACTGCCACAGTTTACAAAGGTGGCAGTTGTGAAGGTGATAGTCACACACGGACAGTCTGGTTTAAAATTCCATCTCTGGGAAAGGTCCCTACAAGGCACCAAACCCCTTCAGTTCCATATATGGCATCTAAACAGTTTTGACTGGGTACTACTTTCCTTTGAGACACTTCCCCTAACGCGAAGCCCATAGAGATTGCTCTGTTTTCAATTCAGTATTTTTAGCTAGCATAACTGGCAACTAAGGGACGTGGTGGCGCTGTGGGCTAAACCGCAGAAGCCTGTGCTGCAGGGTCAGAAGACCAAGCAGTCGTAAGATCGAATCCACGCGACGGAGTGAGCGCCCACCGCTTGTCCCAGCTCCCGCCAACCTAGCGGTTCAAAAGCATGCAAATGCAAGTAAATAAATAGGGACCACCTCGGTGGGAAGGTAACAGCATTCCATGTCTAAGTCGCACTGGCCATGTGACCATGGAAGATTGTCTTTGGTCAAAACGCTGGCTCTATGGCTTGGAAACGGGAATGAGCACCGCCCCCTAGAGTCGAACACGACTGGACAAAAATTGTCAAGGGGCACCTTTGCCTTTACCTTTTAACTGGCAACTAATCCACAACAACGTCAAAAGGATCAAACCCCCTTCAACAAAAGCATTTGTAACAAACTGTATCCTTTCCCCAAGTCTTCTAAGGAAGGGAGGCTTCTCCATGTTCTTCTGGGAAGTAAGTGTAGGTTGAGGGTGGGGCAGCCTCGAACACAAACTGCCACAACAAGGGTGTTGAGCCCATTTCCCCTCCTGCTCCTTTCTCGCTCATCTCCTCCCAACTCTTGTCCTTCATCTCTCAGTGAAGAGAGATGGCTGTCTCCATTGCTCTATCCTTCCTGAAGCTTGGGAGTTTCTTTCCCCTCTCTTGTCACCTTTTCTCCTGGCTTTTTCTGTCCCCCCACTCCCAGTAAGAGATTTTGCATGGGGGGGCTGATGTTTCCTTTGTCTTCCTGCCTCTTCTCTTGGCACCTTTAGTTTCACCCAGATCAGGGGTCTTCCTTTATCACCCACTCCCACCCTTCAGGTAGCTCTGATTGAAGGGGGTCTCCTTTTACCGTCACTTATTTCTCAGCCTCCCCAGGGAAATACTCTTTTAGTCTTTCTCTTCTATGGATTTTTTTCCTTCCCTTTCGTCACTTGCTGCCTGCTTTTTCTGCCATTCTTCCTCTTTCCAACTCTTTAATCTCCTTGTTCCTACCCAAGCCCTCACCTTTCAGCTGTTGTTTCTTTCCCGGGCTTTTCTTCTCTTCCATACTGTCAGGTGTAGGGGATAATTTCTATCCTGAGCTCGCTATCACCTCAGGTTTATCTGCCCTGGGTGGGGATTCTATCCACATATTCTCTATAGCTATCTCTATAGGCAAGCTAATGGTTTAAAAGTCCATTTCAAAGGGGGCTGTACCTTCAACATTGTGAGCTTCATTGATGTCTACAGTGGTGGCCCGCTTGACGACAATAATGCATTCCAGCAAAATCGCTGTACAGCGAAATCGTCAAGCAGAAAAAAACCATTGGAATGCATTGAAAATCAGTCAATGCGTTCCTATGGGGGAAATACCTCATCGTCCAGCGAAGATCCTCCATAGGGTGGCCATTTTTTATCCCTGTCCTGTGAAGAGATCCTCCATAGGGCGGCCATTTTTTATCTCTGTCCTGTGAAGAATCGGTCCAGAAAACAGCAGGGAGCCATTTTGCGAACCGCCAATCAGCTGTTTTTAATTGTTGTCAAGCGAAAAAATGGTTCCCGAAGCAGGGACCAAATCATCGTTAAACAAAAATCGCCCATTGGAACCATTGTTTTGCCATCGCGATCCTCCATAGGGCGGCCATTTTTTATCTCTGTCCTGTGAAGAATCGGTCCAGAAAACAGCAGGGAGCCATTTTGCGAACCGCCAATCAGCTGTTTTTAATTGTTGTCAAGCGAAAAAATGGTTCCCGAAGCAGGGACCAAATCATCGTTAAACAAAAATCGCCCATTGGAACCATTGTTTTGCGATCGCAAAAAAGGCATCCTAAAGCGATTTCGTCATCAAGCGGGATACCACTGTACTCTGGAAAAGAGGAAGAAGCTTTTTGACATTTACCTGGCTTCTGCCAAAATATCAAAACAGAAGCATATGGTTAGATTAAACAAAGGGCAATCTAAAGATAAGTCTGACACTCCTGAGGTGTCTGAGCAACCACTAGATAATATTGCCCAGCCCTTGAGCATGGAACAAGAGAACTTGTTGTGCCTTGACTCATCATCTGAGAAGGAAATATCCAGAGTTCATGCTTTGTCTCCAACCTTCAGTCAATCTCCAGATTGGAGTCATTCCCTTCAACACTCTCTGCAAATGTTTCCTCCTCTGTAAGATCAACCCATCGAAGGTTGGGAATGTCCTTCCAAGCAAAATGGGTCTTCATCACACTCTGCCTCTATGATGTGAAAGAGAACCCGTCAGCATCATAAGAGTTCCTGCAAAATGCACCAGAAGCATGAGCAACCCCTCTTGGAATTGAGAGGCCCGCAATCATACTACTTCAGTGCAGCACCCCAATTTTACCAGGGTCCTAGCCTGGTCCTGAATGACTTTGTTCACTGCCATTCTATGGGACTGTATAAGAAGCTCACCAGTTCTTATAGGAAGATGCCCTGGTACTCCCCGTTGCTTTTTTGTTTGGAAGCTTGGCTTCAAAATCCTGAAGCTTGGAGCATTACCACAGCTGATCAGCTAAATCGAAGAACACTGACTTGAACATAGAGTCATCAGGAGATAAGTGCTAGTTACCACCCCAGAATTGAATATGGGTGACATCAATCCCCCATCACTATCTGACAATTTCTGCTCTTTTTTTGACTGATTTTCGCTCTTACTTATACTTGATTTTTCAGTTAGCAAAGTCTCTAAATCTAAAAATACAGAGACCACTGATCCCCCACTCCAGTTCATATTGGCGTGTTACCATCTCTCCTTCATCTAGTCAAAGAGTCCTGGAACAAGCCATTCACTTCTCTGCCCAAATCCCAATGAGTTGAAAATCTATATAGAATATACAACAAAGAGGCTGCTTTTCTCCTTAAGCACCTACAACCCAATTCAGTTATCGTGGAGGCCTCTCAAAGTAGAACATGAGGACACCACAATGTTCCACCCCATAACAGAGAGGGCTGTAAAA